ACAGACAAAGACACACACACGAACACACACACAGACACACACATGAACACACACAGACACACACACACACAGACACACACACACACACACACATGAACACACACACACACACACACACACACACACAGACAGACACACACACACAGACAAAGACACACACACAAACACACACACACACACAGACACACACATGAACACACACACAAAGACACACAGACACACACATGAACACACACACAGACACACAGACACACACACAGACACACACATGAACACACAGACACACACACACAGACACACACATACAGACACACACATGAACACACACACACAGAACACACAGACACACACACACACGCACACACACACACACACAGACACACACACAGACACAGACACACACATGAACACACACATGAACACACACACACACACACACACACACACACAGACACACACACAGACACACACATGAACACACACACACACACACACATAAACACACACAGACACACACACAGACACACACATGAACACACACACACACACACACACACACACAGACACACACATGAACACACACACACACACACACAGACACACACATGAAACACACACACACACACACACACACACAGACACACACACAGACACACACATGAACACACACACACACACACACAGACACACACACACACACACACACATGAACACACACACACACAGACACACACAGGTGTGTGAACCTTTAAGCTCCGCCTCTTTTACTGAAACGATTTCGTCTCCATGATTTCAGGAAATCTCCGATCTTTGATCTCCGATCTTTAATCTCCGATCTTTAATCTCCGATCTTTGATCTCCGATTGTTTTTTTGTCGTGTCTCTAGTGAAATTCGCCGTTTCTCGTACGAACTTTGAGACGTTTTCCCGCCTCCTTGTTTTGTTGAAGTTGAAGTTTCGTCCGACCGTCTTTCTGACTTTCTCAGTTTGTTGTCTGTCCGTCTGTTTCAGAGGAAATCCCTCCTTCGTCTCTTAAGGAAGTTCGGCAAAGTGTGAAAACCTGAAGTTGTCGTCAGAACTCGAACAGCTGGATCGTATTTAATATCGGAGAGTCAGTGTTAGTCAACGCTGCAGACGGGTTATTACCGCCGCTCTCTGGAGTCTACTCATCGCAGAGCAGTAAAAGCGTTTCCAGAGCTGTCAATCAGCGTGCCAGAATGTGGAGCAACACAGAGACCCGGGGGGCCGGGGGGGTTTAACCCTGAAGGATTACTGCCTCTCTCTCTCTCTCTCAGCCTGTTCTCCACATGATGCACATCTGATCAGGGCGGATCAGAGGTGACAGACTCTCCGTCTTTCTGAGGAGACATAAATAATTAGAGAGGAATTAAGAAGAACATAAATCAGCGTGAAGAATCCTCCACGTCCACGGCTGCTTCAGGAACAACAAAGTTCAAAGATTCAGATGAGACCAACTTTTGTGTTTCATTAAACTTGTTTTTGTTATTTTCTGTATAACTTTATATTTCCTGAAACTTTGCTGCGTTACTCAAACAGATATTTTAGTTTGTTAAACGAATCTCTCCTCAGCCTGTTTGTGTCTTAAAACAGTAAAATCCAGTTTGTTTCTGTTTCAGGACCCCTGCCTGCAAATACCAGCAGCACGGTTAGGCCAATAAAAGCTGCAGTTAAAGCTTATTAAAGTGTTTAATAAGAACAAACTATAAATGTTTATAACGTTACATCATTTCAGCTCATTCTTGGGTCCAAACCAGCAGAAGACTCAGAGAAACACACTCGGAGTTCCTGATCTGAGGTTGGAAACTCTGAAATCTGATCCTCGCCAAAGCAGGAGGAAGATTTGAGGGGTGAATTTAGGTCAAAGGTCATCCCAACACTGACAAGCAAAATCAAATCACAGGCGAGGAAATGAGCCACGAAAGCCTGATTGCTGCGTGAATAAAGAGCATTTCTCCACTGGCTGCTTAAAGAAGTATTTGATTGTGCAGAGTGCTGACTTCACTGTGAACATGAGCGCTGTTTGCACATATTGCTTGAGTGTATAATCGAATCAGGAGCATTGATACAAAGAGTGAACAAATATCTCTAAGTACGCGGAAACAATGGATCTTTGTTCCACAGAGCTCACACACTGACCCAAGGTAGGAACACCTCTGAGCCCGGCCTGTGCTCTCCACTCATTTCTGCTGCTTTTATTGGATAATTCAGACATTACCAGATCAATTTAAGTCAATTTGGAGTTTTATAGAGAGCTTATATTCATGGGAAAGTGACACAAAGAGGAAAATACTTAAAGCCAGACGCTGCTTTAGCATGAATTGAACAATAAGAGAAACGCTCTCTGTGATACGATGATGATTCATGTGACCAAAAGCAGAGATGATAGTTTCCAATAACGGCTCTGTGGACCCTTTTCCTCATGAGACCGGTCAGCTTAGCCCCTCTCAGACCTCGACTCAGACACGAGTCCTGAATTCAGAGCCCGTAACAAAAAACTTCACCTGTGGAAAAGGTGGAAATTCCCTTTACTGGTCACTGATATGTTGCCTTGAAGAAATAAGACATCTCTTCCTTATTGCTTTGAACGTTTACAGGCTCCAGCTCTGTCAAAACTGATGAGCTCACTGGTGTAGCTGTCAGAGATGAACCCTGCAGGCCTCAGAAGCAGCAAAACAAACCAATGTGATTTGAGATTTCAGAGAAAACTCCTGTAGGCAGACTGTGGGAGGCTGTAAGCCAACAAAGCGTGGGCCTGACTGTGTCTGAAAACCTCACGCTGATAAACGAGCTCTCCAAGAAGACAAACTCAGAACACGAGAGGCAAAGAGAGTCTACCTCTGCTGCTGAATCTGATTACAGCGGCCCCGAGGACAGGCGGGTCACTGAGCGCAGAGATGAGCTAACAATAAGATATTATCTGCAGGAATCTGCAGCTTTCCAAAGGAAAATGGTCCCTCTCAGTGTCACACTGACGATAGGATCCTCAACCTGACACTGAATCAGCCATTTAAGAAGAATGAACACTGCCACCCATTCATGCACACTCAGTCAAATAATGAGAGCTCTTTTTTCACTCTGTTTAAGTCGTATAAAGGAGAGCTGATGAGGCTGTGCAGAAACCAGAGCATGCAGCTGACTCAGATGAATATGCTTTTACAATGAGAGAGTATTCAGTGAACAATCCTATAGTCTTTTTCTTTGTTCTTCTGTATATCCGTGTAACACACGTGTTTGTCTTCATTGTGTTCTGCTGCTCTCTTATCAACCACTTTAACAAACACACACTCCTCACTGGACTCCGCTGTCATTTATTATAATCATGGAAATCATCCGTGAAACATGGAAAGGAAAAAAGTTTGATGTGAAAGTGAAAACTATTCAAAGACGTGTTTTTGCTCTTTTCAAACAGCGACATCTTGTGGACACCAGGCTTCAGTTACAATAAAGGAAAACTTGTTTTTACACCAGCGCTCACAACACCAAACACCACCTCCTTATGAAGGTTATAAATAAATTTTATCACTGATGATTTTATTATTTATGTTCCTGTTGGAACACCTCAGGTAAGTCTGCTTTCACCTCTGCTCTATGATCTATATAAATATAAATATATATAAATATATAGATTCAGTGTGAATATTCAGGATGCACTCTGATTCTGGTCAATATCTAAATTCCCATTTTAATAAAACAGAGCGACATGTTCTGTATCTCACAGTCGTTCTCTTTGTTCGGTCCGTTTCTTTCTTTTTGTCTCCTTTATTTATTATTTGTTTATTTGCGCTGATTAAAACCTTTCCTTTGAGAAAAAACATTTATTTACATATTTTTGTGTTATCCAGATGAATGACAATAAAGTTGAGTTGGATTGACAATAACTGATCAGGGAGCTGGTTTTACTGAATTGTACTCTAGTTTATAGTTGTTGGTACAATTATTGATCAGCTGTTATTCAATCGAAACATGTTTTTATTTATCTGCATGTCTCTGCTGTAAAATAAATTGCCTCACTTCATTTAATAATTAAAAAAATAAAAATAAAAACATAATTTTAAACTGAAAGTGTTTTGAAGTAAAAAAAAAATCTATGTAAGTGAAAGCCAATTTAATGTCAGATATCTGGCAGTAAAGGTCTAAGAAAGATCAGCACTAAACCTTCAAAAATTTCTAAGTGGATTAAGATTAAAAAGATGTTATTTAATTATTTAATTATTTAATTATTTTGTTATTTTATTATTATTATTATTATTATTATTATTATTATTATTGTTATTATTAATAATAAATAATTAAATTTTTTATTCTATTATTTAATTTTATTTTATTATTTTGTTATTTTGTTATTTTATTATTTTGTTATTTTGTTACTTTATTCTTTTTTATTTTTGTTACAATTTTATAATTTTTTTATTTTGTGTTATTATTTTATTAGTTTATTAGTTCGTTATTTTATTATTTTGTTACTTTATTATTTTTTTATTTTTTTATGTTATTATGTTAATATTTTATTATTTTATTATATTATTTTTTTTTTATTTTGTTTTTTATCTTTATTATTTTGTTATTTTGTGATTTTATTATGTTATTATGTTAATATTTTGTTATTTTATTATATTATTAGTTGTTTATTTTGTTTTTTAATGTTATTATTTTGTTATTTTATTATGTTATTATTTTGTTTTTTATTATATAATTATTTTGTTTTTTTTATTGTTATAATTTTGTTATTTTATTATGTTATTATGTTATTATTTTGTTTTTATTATATTATCATTTTGTTTTTTTGTTATGTTATTATTTTGTTATTTTATGTTCATATTAAGCGCAGACATAAAGATAAATTAACAAAGTTCGAATACTTTAAACTGGGTTAGCTGCAACGTGAAAAAACGAAAAAACAAAAACGTTTGTTTATGAAATTGTTTATAAAACTACAAAAATGGAGCTGCCTGTCAGTTCACGTTTGCAAAATCAAATCTCGCGATACCTCTGTAAGTCTGTTGGCCAGGCACGAAGAGAGGAGAGCAAAATATCTCGGAGATTCTCTACCGTTAGCTGTAGAAATATCGACATTTAACTCACCTTCAGTTGTCTTGGTTGCTTTAGTTAGTTGATATAAACAGCTCAGTCTATTTTAGATGTTATCTGCTGATAAAAGGTAGTGAGAGTTTTGTTAGGACGCTGAATTGTATGTGTGAAGAGCTAACTGCTAGCTGACAGGCTACCTAGCTTAGCCTTTAGTGAGATGGCGTTGAAAAGAATTCAAAAGGTAAGAGTGTTTTTAATTTCATTAAAAATAATCACTTAATAACCTTTTATTCCTGTTTGTGTGGAACTCTAACCGCTGTGTGGACCTGTGTGGAGCTGATGTTATTTCTGATTTTATGTTGTTTATTATTAAATTTTAGTATTTTTGAGTAAATTTTCAGACAAAGACGAGCTAACAGATGTCAGTTAAAAGGCTTTTATTTTGAAAATCTGCTGTTAGTCTATATTTCAGACTCTTTAAAAACCTGAATCAGCTCTGAGATCTGACTGTTTCTGTCAGGATAACTTTAGGACATGATCTTTTGTTTTTTGGGTGTTTTTATTTCTGATATTTTAGTTTTTTATGAGTTTATATTTTATTTCTCAGACTGGTTTCTTTCTCTCTCTAACAGCAGGTTGATAATAATAATGTGTATGAATGACAGCTGCTTGTTGGTTGCCAAAATTGAACCGTGTGTCAGTGTTTCCTTATAAGGGTTGGTAAATGGGGCACTAAAGCGGGCCACGGTGTGTATTTATATAACAGGAGGAGAAGTTAAATAACAGCCTTCATTTAAATAGAACCATCTGTTGGTTTGTTGTCTTTGTACGTACACAATGACCTTACTTTCTCTGCCCATCATGTTGGTTTTATTTAGCAGCCTTATGGAATTAAAGCCTGTTTATGACTTCACTGTTAATGCAGCCATCTCTCCTAAAAACACCTTTACCTGTCAGCAGACGGACAGCAGACATATTTTCAATAAAAAATAAACGTCTTTACACAAAGTCAGATGGAAACAGGGTTAAAATTCTGTTAAAGTCACAAAGAAGCTCCTCGGGATCCGATTTTTATATTAGTGAAACTTTAAACATCAGGATTGATCAGAAACATCAACCAACCAACCAAACAACCAAACAACCAACCAACTCCTGTTTCTGAATAAAATGTTCATTTTAAACTTTATTCTTTTTATGATAAGGACAAAAACATTACTGTTTACTGTAGTTTTTATGTAATTATTCTCTTTTTTAGAGTTAAGTTAGTATTTGTTTATGCTGTTATGTATAAGACGGTAGTTTTTAAGGAAGTGAAAGTATTTTTACCGTTTGTCTGTCGTCTTCAGGAGCTGTCAGACCTGCAGAGGGACCCGCCTGCTCAGTGTTCAGCTGGACCTGTTGGAGATGACTGTAAGTATGAGGACAAAGGGATTTATTTGTGTTTACATTATTATTACATTATTGAAGTTCAGGATTTAAAGTGCTAAACTAATCTATTGTCCATTTTTCTCAGTGTTTCATTGGCAGGCAACAATAATGGGGCCGGTAAGTAAAACCAGTTTTGAACGTGGAAATACGCAGCGAAAAGTTCCCGTCTGAAATCTATTTTCTTTTTGTCTTTATAGAGTGACAGTCCGTATCAGAGCGGAGTGTTTTTCCTCACCATTCACTTCCCCACAGATTATCCCTTCAAACCACCAAAGGTCAGACTGAGGCGAGCTTTTTCTCACACCAGACATGACTTTCTATTCGAGTGTCGAATTGATTGAAACTTTGGTTTCTGTTTTCACTCAGGTGGCTTTTACAACTAAAATTTACCACCCAAATATCAACAGCAACGGCAGCATTTGTCTGGATATACTAAGATCTCAGTGGTCGCCTGCACTCACGGTATCGAAAGGTAAGACTGATGATCAGCTGCTCTGACAGGTCAAATCTCTTTTTATAAGAAGCAGCAGCTGCTAAAAAAACAAAAACAAGATCTTTAAGAAAACGCTGAGAATGAAACGACAAACAACAAAATCACTAAAAGAGTTTTTATTTCAGTGTTAAATTTCAGTTTTTATTGGAGCTCAGACTCTCAGGTCTCTGATCCAAACTGAACCAGAACAGAGGATTCAGAACCACCAGAGACTTCACTGGACCTGAACCCATATAAGGTGGACTGAGGGGACATGGAGAACTGTCCTGTGGTCTGAGGGATCCAAGTCTGTCTGTCTTTTTGGAAATCCTGGACTTTCTAAAGAGTCGAGGATCCACCAGGCCTGATCTCAGCTCCTAGTCCAAATCCAGCATCCCTGATGGTCTGGGGATCATCAGAGTCCATGACATGGGTACCTTCCACATCTGTGAAGGAACAAGATCTCCAGGGTTAGGACCAACATCTGCATCCATCCAGACCAGGACCTCTTCAGGGAAGACCTTCATATGATCCAGAACCAGATTCTGACAACAGCATGGCTCTGTAGGAGAAGAGTCCTGGACTGATGCGGTCCGGACTTGCAGAGACGGTCTAACATCAGTCTGGTTCTGCTCGAGGTCTCTGCCTGTTTAAGGAGGTTCTTCCTCTCAGAGGGGGTCCGGTCTTACTAGATGGGACTTCATGTTGGTTTTCTAGACCAGCTCTTTTTTTCATAAACTGGAACCATTTCTAAAAGATTCACTGATATTCCCCCATGGAAACATTTGGACCATCAGGACCCCCAAAAACAGGACAGAGGAGACCCTGAACTGCTGAGCAGCTGAAATCCTCCATCAGACCGGACTGGGAGAACCTGGTCCGAAGTTTCAGGAAGAAAACCGTCCTGAATGATCGTGATCGGAGATCGTTTAAACGTTTCATCAAATGGAAGAAAAACAACATCAGAAATCAGAGGTTTGTTAAATAAGAGCGTTTCCACCATGAAGAGGGACTCAAAGGGACTGAGGAAAACCACGAACCAGGACTTTTGGACTCTGGAGGAATGGAAGAAGCTCATGTGGTCTGATGAGTCCAGATCTACCCTGTTCCAGAGTGACGGGGGCGTCAGGTGAAGTGATGAACCCATCATGCCTAGTGTCTAAAGAACCAGCCTGTGGGGGCAGGACTGTGGTCTGGGTCTGGGTCTGAGTCTGCAGTCGGTCAGGTCGAGATTCAGAAACATCATGAGCCCAAAGATAGAGCTCAAATCTCGACCACCAGTCCAGACCTGAACCCGGTGAGGGTCTTTGTGCCGTGGTCAGAGTCTCTGTTCAGCAGATCCTGGTGAAAAACACGGGATGGAGTTTATCGAGATCTAACCGCAGAGAATTCACGCTGTAATCAAAGAGAACCAACCGAATATTAGAGTGTGAGGCAGCGTACACACACACACACACACACACACACACTCACACACACACACACACACACACACACACACACACACATACACACACACACACACACACACACACACACGCACGCACGCACGCACGCACGCACGCACACACACACAGGCACACATACACACACGCACGCACGCACGCACACACACACACACACACACACACACACTGTATAACGTCCCGTTCATGTCCTCGTGGTTCACCTGTGGCTCTGTAATAGAAACTGTTCTTGAGTCTGGAGGTGCGGACTCTGAGTGCTCTATAGCGCCTCCCAGAGGGGAGCAGAAAGGACAGGTGTGGTCAGGGGAGGCCTTCATCTCTGAGTATGATGGTGACGGTGTGAATGCAGGAAATTCTGAGTGAGGGCAGACTGGGTCCGATGGTCTTTCCTGACTGGTTGCAGACTCAGAGTTCATGTACCAAGCTGTCGGTCGATCGTCAGGACAGGAGCGAAGGTGGAGCGCTCCGAGCAGCAGGTCGTTTTTCTTCAGTGTCCTCAGGAAGTAAAGCTTCCCTCCCCAGAGAGGAGGAGTTAAGTGACCACGTTAGATCCTCGCTGATGTAGGTCCTCAGGAACGTGAGGCTGGCAACCCGTTCCACTTCCTGTCCCTCGATGGTTTGGGGGACACGGTCCTCCTGCTGTTTGGAAACAGAAAATGATTTCTTTGTTTGTTTTTTGAGGTTAAAGGTTCTAGTCCATCAGTCTGTTTCCTCTCTGGGGGGGTTTCATGAGGAACATGAACCTCCTGTCAGTCTGATCACAGATGCTTCACTGTAGTCCATAAACTTCCATTTGGACTGGAGGTTCAACCTAACAGGTTCTGGTTCTCTCTCTCTCTCTCCACAGTATTATTGTCTATCTGCTCTCTTCTTTGTGATCCAAACCCGGACGACCCGCTGGTACCAGAGATCGCCCACACGTACAAAGCTGACAGGGAAAAGTGAGTGATGAGATTTTCCACACCTCTGCTTTCTGTTAGGGGGATGTGTTTTTTATTATTTATTCATATTTATATTTATTATATATTCACCGTCTCCAAACTCTGTTTTTTTTCAGATACAACAAATTAGCCAGAGATTGGACGCAGAAGTATGCGATGTGAGACGAGCAGGAAGATCAAAACAAGAACAGGAACAAAAGAAACACATTTGATTTGTAACTTTGAGGCAAATGAGCAACAGCAGAGTGGAAAAAAAAACAAGACAACACCTATCTTTTGAAGGAGGAAGCAATACAGGGGTACAGCGCCCCCTGGCTGTCCATGTGCAGAGATGTTAACTTGTGCTGTTCTCCGTGTCTGGATCTGCTGAGCAGGACCAGACAGGCTCTGAAAGCACTCCCACATGGAAACTCATCTGCCGCTCTCAGACTTTGAACTGTTACTCCTGCTATCATCATGTTATTTATCATCGTCACTGTTCTTCATCATATCGTTGTGATACTCAGAGGCAAACTATTAGATTGATTCTTTTGGAGGTTGGCTTTGTCCATTTGTCAGAGGTACTGTCTGTGTCTCACTGGATGTCTCCTTCTTACTGTACTTCCATGTTTTTAGTGGCCTTTCTGTGTTTTTTTTTTTCGGTAAATGTGCAATTGAGGCAGAATGTTCCCCGTTCAACTTAAAATGGTGCCGTGCCATTACCAGCAGCTGATGTGTTGGCACATGCTGTCTCTGACCCCAGACAATGTGAAAATGTGAGGGATCCTGGGTCTCCATCTCTAAAGCGACAGTATTAAAGGTTTCGACACCACTGGACAGCTGCTGTGAGGAGCTGGTCTGGCTCTGAGTTGTTGTTTGGATCCAGAGGCTCAATGTCAGCTCTCATTTTTCTCACACATGGCGTCATCGCTCTCATTTCCCGTATCAGTAACAGTCCGCAGCTTGTGTCCACAGCGCACAAATACTACAGTCGACCTGTTAGTCGATGTGTTGCTATGAACACCGTTTCTCTTTGGCCAATTCAGTGCAGTGACTCAGGTATCAGACCCGTTCATCAAACGGATCAGAGTCCATACCGTCATACCGACATCGAACAGCCGCGCTCCTCTGAATGATCCTGATGTTCAACATTTCTCAGTAACACGCCGTTTCAGACGTGCCGTAATTCCTCTCAGAGACACTTTCATTATCACATCATTTTCTCTTATTAACTTATTTAAAACAACAGCTTTTAATCTTGCTGAAATGTCTTTATGAACTTGAAGAGGCCTTTTGTCATGGCTGTTGTCTCTAGAAACGGGAATTGAAAAAAGGACTCATTTTACAGAAACAAGTCGATTTGTTGGTTTACTGGAAGTCAGACAGCTGCAGTGACAGAGAAAATAACTCCATATCAGGTCATCTGACGTTTATCAGCACTTTGAAGGTTTAAATTCACTTTTTTTCAGTCTGATCGTAGGTTTTTCTTGATGCTTGATGCTTGATCTTTTTCAGAAGCTGTAGTTTTATGGCTTTGATTTTTTTCCCCATTCAAATAACTAGAATTTAAAACACGATTGTGATGTTTAATGTGTAATATTAGTTTGAATATAATCCATTGTGACTGAGGTAGTTTGAAATGCTACGATTTGTCTTTTTCATTGGGGCTGAAAATGTGCTGATGCTGCCAATATAAAGGGAATATTCTGATGCTATAGAAAAGGAATACATTTAACCATCGAGTTATCATTGAGAAGATTTATCTTAAGGTTCATTGTGAAGCATGAAAATATTAGAGGCTTTAATTGTAGAATTAACACCATGGTTTAGATGCCAAATGTAGATTTTTACCACTTTAGCAGCTGTAGAAAAAAGTTCTGAATAACAGTATATACTAAAAGGTTATGGGAAAATGTATCCGTACATGCAGTCAGGTTCTGTTTTTGCTGCCAGAGCACAACTGAAAAAGATGTGTGATAGTTGTAGTTCAAACTTTGTTTGTTCTTCTGGCTCATTTATTTATTTGAAAGCGGAGAATCTTCCAACAGTGCGGCTGAACGCAGCCTCATTGGTCCTCTGGGTCATGTGACATTGACTCCCTTTGTCTCAGTAGAGTTTCTATAGGCAGCTTGGCATGCTTTGCACTCTGGAGGAACCCTGTCACAGCCATTCACCAGATATCAGGGATTTCATTATAACTCATCTGCCTAATATCTCAGACTGAAATTTTAGCCTTAACCCTCATTTTGTGTATCTATAAAGCGGTTCATAAACTGTAAATCTGAGTGAGTCGTTTCATCAGCAGACACACAAACCTGCTCAAACCAACACCGACATTTCAGCCGCGCTTCTGAACGCTGGACCAGCCCTCATCCACGTCCACACACACACACACACACACGAGAACTACAACCCTGACATATATGAATAAAGTTCATCTTGGTTTACTTTGGTCTGTGTCTGTGTGTGTGTCTGTGTGTGTCTGTAATGAAGTAACAACAAACCTGCTGATATTATGAAAACAGTTTTTGAAAGTAAGTTGGTTTCTCTGCAATAAAACAGACTGAAGACATTAAAAGACCAGGATGAACCTGAAAACATAAACTTTTTAAAAAGCTGAGCAGACCGTGAACCCAGAGATGTGTTACTATGTTTGATAGAGTCATCACACACACACACACACACAGCGTTATCTTTTTCCTCTTTGACAAAAAACAAGGACTGACAAAGAGACACAATCAGAACTAAAATAAATCAGGAGAAAATGCAGCGATGTTGAACATGCAGCAGCGTGTCGATGTGATTTCATCCTGAATTCTCCAGTGATAAAAAAAACCACAAAGTGCTGCAATTTAAATAAGTGACCAATAAGAAAACCCTGAAAAACAAAAGTTTATACAGTTTGTTGTGTATATATATGAACTACTACTATCAATAATAATTATCATCATGTTATTATTATTAATAATTCTCATTACTTTGCTCTGCTGTACTGGGATTCGTTTGATTTCACGAAGTCTCTTTTGCGGTGCAGACAGACAGTGTGTTATACTCCCTCTTAGCTCCGCCCTCTCGGACTGCCCCGGTGTTTCATATGTAACCGTTAGCTCAGCAGCTTCCTGTAGCATCGCCGCTCCTCCCTGCAGGAAGTTAGCCTGTTAGCCTGTTAGCTCCTCTCGGATAAACGATGTCAGTAAACTTGAGTAAAAACGGTGCAGCTTTAACTTCAGCTTTTAAAGAGGTGGTGGATGAAAAATCTAAAACTAACTGGTAAGGAGTCTCTTCAGTCAAACCGCGTTTATCTTCATGTTTCTGCTGTTAAAGACAGACTGTTTGCTAGCATGGAGTCATTCCTTCACTAAGTTAACGTTAACAACAATATTTCATTAAACTTTAACATTTTAACTAAACGAGAACAATTAATGAGCTTTTGACAACCAAAATAATCGATACTGTGGATAAATATCATCTTTATTCAGTGGAGAGCTGATCTGTTCAGATTTATTCAAGATAACAGCGATAAGATGGAACAAAAAACGCAGTTTAACATTATTTTACTGTTTATATTATATTTATTATTATACATTTATAATTAAATTAACAAAGTCTATATTTTGATTTGCTGGTCTGACAATAAATGTATTAATTTAATGAGTTTGTAACCTCTGTAAACCTTTACTTCCTGGTCAGACATCAGAGACTTCCTCAAAGAGTTTCTGTAAAAACAGACAAAGAGAGTTTAGTTATGACCCAAATTTACACTAATTAACAATCAGAGAGAGAGAGAGAGTGTGTGTGTGTGGAAGGAGGGGTAGACACACACACACACACATAGAGACAAAGCTGCTGCTGGTCTGATCTCAGTGTTCAGTCTCTGTTTTATGTAGAAATTAATAAAGTAAAGATAATAACTGTGTGTCACTGAGACCAAAGTTCAGTTACAAACACAGTCCTCTCCTCTCCTTCTCTCCTCCTCTCCCCGTCTCCTCCTTTCTCCTCCTATCCTCCTCATCTCCTCCCCCTTTCCTCCTCTCCTCTCCTCTCCTCCTCCTTTCCTCCCCTCCTCCTCCTAATAAAGATGGAGTAAAGTGATGATCTTAATTTCTGATGAAGCAGGTTCCTCTTCGTCTTCGTAGTACACAGATACACAACAATAGCTGTTTATTATAACTTACCTGAGTTCACCTGACAACCAGTCTAAATAAGTAATAATGTAATAAAGTAATAATAACTAGTCTTAATGTGATAGTTTAATAACTTTATAATAACTAGTCTAAATAAGTAATAATGTAATAAAGTAATAATAACTAGTCTTAATGTGATAGTTTAATAACTTTATAATAACTAGTCTAACTAGGTAATAATGTAATAAAGTAATAATAACTAGTCTTAATGTGATAGTTTAATAACTTTATAATAACCAGTCTAAATAAGTAATAATGTAATAAAGTAATAATAACTAGTCTTAATGTGATAGTTTAATAACTTTATAATAACTAGTCTAAATAAGTAATAATGTAATAAAGTAATAATAACTAGTCTTAATGTGATAGTTTAATAACTTTATAATAACTAGTCTAAATAAGTAAGTTTCAGTTTTTTTGACCCAAAGTTTTCAGTTTTAGTTAAGAAATCTGATCCTTTGTTTGACTATATGTCTGTGTGTCTCTCTCTCTCTCTCCTTCTTTCTCCTTCTCTCTCTCTTTCTCTCTCTCCCTCTCTCTCTCTCTCTCTCTCCTTCTCTCTCTCTCTGTCTCTTTGTCTCTCTCTCTCTCTCTCTCTCTCTCTCTCTCTCTCTCTCTGTCTCTCTCTGTCTCTCTCTCTCTCTCTCTCTCTCTCTCTCTCTCTCTCTCTCTCTCTCTCTCTCTCTCTCTCTCTCTCTCTCTCCTTCTCTCTTTGTCTCTCTCTCTCTCTCTGTCTCTCTGTCTCTCTGTCTGTCCCCCCGGTCTGTATTCACTCGTCTCTCGTCTCTCTCACACAGGGCTTTATTCACCTATGAGGGGAACAGTAATGACATCCGTCTGGCTGAAAAAGGCGGTAAGTTTGTCGTTTTTTCTCTCATCTCCATATTTTCATATTTGTGTGTTTTCAGGAATTTCATGGTCAGCTGCTGAGCTGAGATATCCACACAAAAGGAGTGCCTGCCTTTGCTTTTTCACCCCTTCATTAGTCGGGGAAAAAATCTGCAGTTAGAAAACCGACCACAGAGAGCGTTTAAGTTTTCCACCATGTTTGTGTTTCAGACGGAGGACTGGAGGAGCTGGTGGAGGAGCTGAACAGTGGAAAAGTCATGTACGCCTTCTGCCGGGTTCAGGATCCAAACTCTGGTCTGCCAAAATATGTCCTCATCAACTGGGTGTGTGTCCCTCTGAACTGTGTGTGTTTGACGTGTGTTTGTCCTCTTTGTCCCCACAGTGTGTAAATAACTCTGTGTGTGTGTGTGTGTGCGTGTGTGTGTGTGTGTGTGTGTGTGTTTCAGACTGGAGAAGGAGTGAATGATGCCAGGAAAGGAATCTGTGCAAATCATGTCAGCTCCATGGCCAGCTTTCTGAAGGTAACTCTGTCCTCACCTGTTGAGCCTGGTCTACATGCACACCTGAACTTTTTCTCCTGAAGGTCGTTGGTGGGCTGAAGGTCGAATTAATGCTGACATGAAAGAAACAGAGAAGAGCATGTAAAGACCCTCAGTCCTGTCTCCCTGTCTCAGGGGGCCCATGTCACAGTAAACGCCCGGGCGGAGGAGGACGTGGAGCCGGAGGTTATCATGCAGAAGGTGGCTAAAGCCTCTGGAGCGAACTACAGCT